ACCCCTTCCCGCCGCCGTCGTCGTCAATCGTATCACAGTCCCGCACACAATGTCAGCACCCCCGTCCCGCCCCTGCAGTCACCCACAGCACTGTATTCCCCACCGGTAACTGATCAGGCATTAGAGAACACCCTCCACTCCAGATGGGACTTGTATCATGTAACGCCATTCCCTATATCCATATTATTTTCTTACTCTGTATATATTCTCTTTTTCTAGTAGATTTGTCTCCAAATGTTCACGTTTCCTTTTACTCCGGCCTTAACATTTGTGTGCTTGGGTGATGCTTATCGATCCAATTCAGAGCTTTCGTTGCAGAATCTTCTTCAGGTCACTTATCCTTTAGGTGTGTGCCAACCTCGACATTCCTGGCCCGCTAGAGCACCCAGAAGGTCTTATTAGGTACTAGATAGTCGATGGCTCAGCTTATCACATGTGGCGCTTTTCAAGACACAGTCTTGGCTCTTCTACTCTTCATAGTATACATATATTGAATTTGAACAGTGCCAAAAATTCACACAATCTCATTTACGCAGACAAATTTAAGTGCATTTACTCGTTTTCTAAGGACACGGCCAATATTTGCGTTGAAAAAATTAACGCAGATCTGCTTAAACTCTCACGATGCAGTGTTACCTGGCAGGTGGAGTTTTCTCCATCCAAGTGCAGTTTCATATGTTTTGACCACGCCAAGCTTCTTGGACACCTAGTCTTTCAAAATACTCCACTTTTAGAACGATCCACCATAAAGGACTTGGGTCTAAGTTATACAAATAAACTGGCATTATCGCCTCATGCGGATCGAATTTCTGCTATGGCCGCACAGATATGTGGTTTTATATCACACAATTTCTTCCTTCCAGAAATAAAGTTATAACTCTACCGCATATTTGATCCTTCAGCTGTCTACGGTCATGTGCAACAGCTGAACCACGACTTTGGCTTTAAGAAGGCGACGGTGATCGGTGGGGCTACCGAGAAGTGGCTGGAATAGTGCTTGAAATTCGGTCCTCCATGGGCACAATCAGCAAAGTCATAGACGTGAATCTTGCATATCAGACTCTTCCTACAAGGCGAAACCGAGAGCATACACTTACGGAAAATAGGAGTGGCAGTCGGATGTCACACTCCCGACATGCTCTAGCAGCGGAGAACATCTCAAGCAAAAAGGGAAGAGTGTTCATTCCGTAGGTTGACGTGGAGGAGGCCAGAGAGCATTTTGACTCGCCTACAACTACGATAACACCAAAGGGGACAGAAGTCACGCAAGGCCGACATCATCCAAAATCCGGGAGACCAAATGTAGTCGGCAACGGAGGGGCAGGTCAAAATTCGCGCGTCCAGCACAGGTATAATGTGAGATAGACATCAAAACTGGCCAACTCAAAACAACCAGACGCAGCACCTACAATAATCTGACCACGGAAGCGACAAGGGTTCCGAAAAGTCTATTTAAATATAATGTGGTCCACGAACACATC